ATCATGCTTACTTTACCATGCCACACTTCCCAACACAAAGCAATAACCTTGGGGGGAACCGGCCTACACCAAACTTCTTTGGAAGGGAAACTTTGTTGAAAGGAGGTTTGGCACAGGAATTTAAAAAAGGAACCACAAGAGAAAGACCCATTGGGGTGAATGGCCCAAATCCTCTTACCAAGCTTCAAAGATCCAACCAAACCTTATCGAAGAGACCAAGAAGCGCAAACAAACAATCAACTTCATCCTCCCTTAACCCTCTACGAAAAGCCAAAATCCCAAGACAAAGACGACAAATTTAAAATTGAAGGAATGAATTTTGAAAATCACCTCTTTTTTATACAAAGAAACGGAGTACAAGGATGGAAAAAGGTCTTTAGGGGAAGATCTCCAACCCAAATGTCCTCCCAAGTCCCAAAACTGAGTAGAATTATCAAATCAAGCATCATACCTGATACAACTGAGGAACCATGGAAGAATTTTGTGTATTGCTTTCCATGGTGTTGCTAGGTTAGCCCTCCTTGAAGCACCAGCATCCCATCCACTCTATGAGCATCCATGAATACTCTTCACCACTTCATGCCACAGCCTATCTCACTCCATAGGCCACCTCCACAACCACTTCCCTAACAAAGTTGAATTCTTTTTAAGCACATTCCCAAGCCCCAATCCTCCTTCCTCTTTGTTTCTACCCACAACCTCCCAACTGATTAAGTGGTCTTTTTTACCTTCTCCTGGTTCCCAAAGAAAATCTCTCATCAATTTTTCCAGTTTCTTCACTTCCCTAGATGTTATCCTAAAGACAAAGAGGTAGTAAGTAGGTAGGCTTGTGAGGGTTTCTCTCTTTTTTTTAATAAAGATATTTTTATATTAAGAAGAATCAAGATCCCCTTCCCTTCCTTTTTCTTTCTTTCTTTCTTTCTTTCCAGTCCCTTTCTTTTTTCCTTTTTTTTCCAATCTTTTTGTCTAAGGTGTGCATGAAGCGCATGAGGTGTATGCCTTAAGCACGCAGCTTGCAAAAGGCTTATGAGGCATACACCTCTTGCACCTAAGGCATACACCTCAGAGGCGTCAATGCCTATGGCATATGCCTTAAGGCGTTTTGGGGGCGCCTTGTTTGGAGGTGTGCCTCCAAGTGTGCGCCTCCCACGCCTTTTGAAACACTGCATCAAATTTCGTAACTTGATTCCACCATTTGACCATTAAACAAAAATGATTTTGTTTACACTCACTAGATTAAATCTTCCCTGTGTCTGCCTTAATCTAGGACTTCAAGAGGGGGAGGGCCGATGTTAATCCCCTACCTAGACCCCCCTCTCAAACCACTTGGACCTATTAAAGCAAAACAAAAAATCAAAAGAAACTAAAAAAAACCCAAAGTATCCCCACTCAAACCCATTGAATGACAAAATAGCCTTTATAGACATTAGGCACTAGAAACTGCAAAAAACCTAGCCAAACTTTAGACAAATCATTGTCACTATGCAGTCAAATCTGTTGTAGGCAAGACTCTTGAGCTTCCTCGCATAGAGAAGGCTCCAAGAAAACCTAGCCCTATGGAGATCATGCAGCAAGGCTCATCCTCTCGATTTTCTCAAGAACTAGATCCCAAAATTGATCTTAGAGTATCACAAAATGTCCCCAATCATTCAAGAATGAAAGAAAGAACTACATCGTTTGTCTCAAGAAACATCCCAAAACATGCAATCTAGAGTTTAAATCAGCCCCCAAACATCAACTCCTCGCCCATTGACATTTCCAAGCTTCAATTAGCTTTGAATAGCACAAAGCCTCTCTTTTGGCTTAGAAGATCATTTGGAAACAGTAATATAGACGTGAGTCAACCTCTAGTACCCTTTTCAGGCTTGTTTTAGATACCAGAAACCATCTGTCAAGGCCAAGTTCAAGAGGTAAGCCTCTCAACCTGTTTAGTTCAAGTCTTCAGTTAATTTTTTATTATTTGGTGCTAATTTGCAATTTGCATTGTATTTTTTGATGATCACAGTTCTTAGTTGCTTGGAGTTCAACACCTGTGAGGTTTCACTTCATGCTTATTCTAATCTTGGATAAAGAGGGAGAGGGGCAAGGATTTTAGGGAATTTAGCACCTAATCCCCAATAACATTCCCTCAAAACTGAGATTAGGGAAGTGATACTTCACAAAATTTTGGAATTTCACCGATTTCTTGATTGGAATTAATGTAAAAAAATAAGACTAGATGAACCAAAGATTGGGCTGTCATTACAAGTTAGAGAGAGGGGTGGAGAAATGGAATCGCTGCATTTAAAAGAAAAAAAAAAAAAGATCAATTTTCAATGATTAGAGGACCCATTTGCTTGGAGCTCACACTAAGCATCCCTCCACCACTGCAATAAGCCATGATTTCCTTTGGAGGCACCATCGACATTGAATTTCGGAAGGGTGTGTAGCTGACGCTTCTCTAAATAGAGCATTTAATTTCATCTTCAATCAAGTAATCAAGAAGGTCCCAATTTCAATCCCCATTACCATTAATAATGTCACTGACTTTCAGATCCAAGTTAGTTCTCATTGGATTGTCTACATAACTGATTAGAGGGCACTCTGAAATGGAAAAATTAAGAGAGGGAGAAGAGGCTTAAGCCTAACCATAATAGCCTTAGTAATGTTTTTATATAAAACATTACTAAGGCCAATAGGTCTACAATCTTTCACCTCTTCAACTGTATCATGCTTTGAATCAAACAAACATGAGTTTGCTTTGCCATTCCAAAAGAAATCTTGCACCATGTTGAGAAGATCAGCACCAATCAAGTCCCAGCACCTCTGATAAAAAGCAGCATGAATACAGCATCATACACCTCCTGCTCATCAGGAACCCAATACAGATAATTATTCTCTTGCATAGAGATTTGTGATTGCAAGCCAAAGAAACTTTTGAGATTCAAATGATGAGTGGAAGAAAAGAGAGATTTATAGTAATCAGTAATGTGCTTCTCAATCATTCTTGGGTTTTAAGTCCAATCACCATGATCATCCGTCAGCCAAGTAATAGAGTTCCTGTGCATTCTATAGTTGCCGTAATGGGTGTTTTTATCACCCTCCTTTAGCCAACTCACCCAAGACCATTGATGCCAATACGCCTCTTCACAACTCAGTCATTCCTCTAACTCCTTGCACAACTTTGCTTCTTCAGTGGTATTAGTAGCAGAGGAATCAGTAGCCTGTAATTTAGCAAGTTCAACTTCAATCCATTTGATATGCCCTTTAATTCCACCACACAAACTATAGCCCCACCTATGCATTGATAGCTTCACAGGTTCCAGCCTATAGTGTTCCTTCACTTGCCGACCATGCAGTAGAGAAAACTTCATCAAATCCCGCTTCCTTCATCAAGGTGGCTTCAAACCAAATCCTTCTATTCATCTTCAGCTACCTTGCAATGTCCAATAAAAATGGTGTGATCACCAGCTAAGGCTGGCAAGTGTGTGATTTGTGTTAATTGGTACAAACTAAGCCATGAGGATACACCAAGACATGACCAAGTCTCATTCTAATAAGCCTCTCAGAGCTACATTGATTGGACCAAGTAAAAGAAGGTCCACTGAACCTGACATCAATGATCAATCAACCCACAATAATCAACCAACTCCACAAACTCAATCATAAGTCTTTGAGAGGGATTACAGCCATCACACTTATCTTAAGAGCTGGCAATGAGATTCAAGTCACCCATCAGAATCTAAAGCACCAATGCACCCTCATTGTATGGCGGATCTCATCAAAAAAGAGTTGTCATCCTTCTCTACTGGGGTATTCATGACAACAGATGAACTCCCATTCCTGAAAGGTGGCAAACATATATGCAAACAATGAATGATATAGAGGAAACCTCTAGAAAAAACTGTCCTCTAGTAACTGTTTGGGCATTCACCTACATGTCGTCTTGTTAAATATGCCTTGGACGTCGCCAAACTCTATAAGATAGAATATCTTTGATTTGAGACATACTTCCTACCCACTCACATGTGCCCTAGGATGTGAAACAAGTCAGATCTAGAGTATGTGCCAATCTTCAACATTAACACCGTAACCATTGAATTACTTCCCACTAAAAGAGAAGAACAAATCAAAATGTAAATCAAGTAGAGTACAGCCATTACTAAATATTGGTCCCACCTATCTCTGGTCTTGGGAGAGGTAAGCTGGACACAGGCCTAACCTTTGGCATTTCTTTTGCACAAAGTGGCCACTCAGCCTCAAATCCATGTCCTTCCATGTCATCACAAGATTTTACCATTACATCAAACAACGGCCCCCAAATTGTAAATCAAATAGAGTGACAATGTCAAATATTTTAATAAATACTGCTTGGCAGTTTTGTGAAATTTCCTAGGTAACACCCACTAACTTAGGCTAAGTTTAGGTTAGGTGTTCTTATTGAAATAAGCACTTATTTTGGGCTGGGACCGCACCAATAGCACTTCTTTGTGTTTGGGAAATAAGCCTGAAAAAGTGCTAATTCCTGAGAATAAGCACTTATTTGAGAAGCTCAAATTTTGGGCTTATTTTAAGTGTTTATTTCCTTTTTGGCCCATCTTGGCCCGCCACATCATTTTGAAAATATCTATACTACTGTTTGAAATAAGTGCGTTTTTACCAAACGCTCATGAGTGCTTATTTGAATAAGCACTTATTTTTCAAATAAGCACTCCCAAACTCCACCTTAAACAGCTTAAGAATTAATTATACATCTGCAAACCAATGATTAAAATATCAATACACCCAATACCCAAACATGGGTATCGGTGCATATCAATATGGCCGATACTCGTATTTTTTATTTTTTTGGTTTTTTATTTTATAATAATCATGGGGTCCCAGAAGAGGTCAGAGACCTTTTAAAATTTTCAAAATGTTTGCCCATTGGTGTTTCCAAGCATATTTAGATACACCAATACCGATACAAAAAAAAATTGATATAAAAGTTGTATTTAATATAAAAGTAGTTTAGATTGTACCTCATTGGTGAAGACCTCTTCTTGTGCTTCCTTTGACCCTAGTAGTTGTACAACAAGTTTTGCATCTACTTGCTTCTGAGCAAGACGTTTTGGTCTTCTGGTTCGATATCGTGCTGATCTTTTCTTTGGCTTAGGGCTTGGTGCTATGTGATAATTCCGACATGGAGTATTACTCCGTATACGAGATATCATTGCATTTTTATGGGCAAACATTTGGCTAGTGTCCTGCAAGTACAATTTTTTCTCCTCGTTTACTTCTATGCTTGCTTCATTTACTGCAATACCCTCCATTTTAATAGAACCAAGTTGCTCAACTGCAAGTGCAGTAGACTGCGAATAATGCTCAGAAGCTGAACCATCACCACTTGTCATGGAGTAATCATGCTTAACTTCTGTATTAGATTCATGTTTCGAGGAATGGGAATTCTTGGGGAGATTGGTAGCAGGCTCATCCTCTTCAGAATCATAAAGAGGGATATCATCAACCGAATATCTGTACAAGTCAATCAGATGCCCTCAATTAACTTAGAATTGCACTGTGCAAATTAACATACAATAAGCATTTCATATCAGCATGGTTATTTGGAATCATAAACCAGAAAATGTGAGAAATAATCAATTCAATAACAGCAAACATTGAATTAGATCAGTCACCATTGTTCCTAAGAAAAGAAAACACAAGAAGTTGGACATATAGAATGAATGTTCCTATGAAAAGAAAAACTTTCAGAGGCTAGGCATTTCAAACCATTACAACTTTTATATGAAAAAACAATAAACAAACACTTTCAAAACAAATACCTACCAAATAGATCCTAATACAAAAAATCATCATCATCATCTAAGCCTTGTCCCAACTAATATGGGGCCAGCTACAAGAATCCTGTATCACCATTCTGTTCTGTTCAATGCCAAATCCTAATAATGAAAAGTACTTTAATTTAAATTCAAGTAATACAAAAATAATTGTTGGCATAGACCCAAATCTCATCTGTAATAATTTCGAAAGAAAAGCTTTTCAAACCACTATAACTTCTAGATGAACATCTAAATATAAAACCACATCCAAAATTCATTGATACAAAGTAAACCCTATGACTAAAAATACTGTAATTTAAATTCCAATTATCCAAAAACACAAAAACAATGTTGGCACAAAGATGCACATATTCAGTTTTTATTTGCAAGAGACTCATAGTACATCAAAACCATCATGGAACATTATTTTTCACTACGAAACCTGGATGTCATTAGTGATCGATCTATTATTTATCAATTATCAATGCCAGAGCATGCATTGGAAAACTTACTACATAGAGACCTGTCTGTGATTGTTGTGCAAGATAATATCTTAAATATAACTGCATCATATTAGTTTGTTGTTTTTTACTGGGTAGGGGTGTTCCCCCCAGAAGTCTGTTTTACCATGTTTTTTTTTTTTTTTTTTGATAAGTTGTTGTACCATGCTTTTTCCTTTTTACTAAATCTTACTTTAACTTGTATCAAAAAAAATAAATCTTAAATATAACTGCTAAGCTCAATAAATGTGACATGTATTTCCCAAATAAGTGTATCTATGCACAAGTCATCCTACAAAAATTCATTTTATCATTGACAAACATCGCAATAGTACAATTTCAAAAGGAACAAAACACCCCTCTTATTGACTTTTATCACTACAAACAATGGTACTATTTGTGTCTTATACCTAGGGATGTATCCAGTTACTCAAAAACGGGATGTTCCAAAATCATTTCCCAGATTAAGATAGAAGAAAAGAAGAGCTTTGCTCCCCATAAAAAAAAAAGTTATTCTCTTTCTTTTTCTCTTTTTCATCGTGCACTTCTGGGGAAGAGGGAGAAGGCAATCCCCTAATCTGGGATCTGTCATTAGAATTAAGGGAAGATCAATTGTTCATTGAAAGAGAGAGAGAGAGAGAGAGAGAGAGGAAAGACCTCGGCAAGATGAGCATCAATGTCTCCACATCAATCCCAGCTTCACCTTGAACAGTGACAGCTCACAAAGTCACAGGAAGTGAATGGTAGTGGCTGAACCTAATCACCTATGCTAAAAACATCCAATACCAGCCCTCCCAATCATTGGGCAAGTAGGGACTTTTTTTTTTTTGCTGTTAACTAAGGAAGAAAAATAAATAGAGGCAGAAGAAGGTAAATAAGACAATGAGAGGAAAAGGTCTGTCCAACTTATTTAATTATTAAAATGTGTCAATGAGACAATCAAGTTTTAACCCACTTTCTATTTTCAGTGTGGTCATGAATGTGCTGTTGGAATTTCCCTTGCAATCCATTATAAGTAAATAAATAGGTTATAGGTCATAAGGTGGATTTGATGTTAATTAGGATCTGAGTATCTATTGCTTCCATACTTGGTTTGAGCATCTTGGGCTGCTTATTTGTTACATCATGTAAAGCATTAGCAAACTAGAGGAGGGAAAAAGCATCATCAGAACTATAAATTCTCTCATTTCTTTCTTCCAACAACAATAATTATTGTTAAAAGAAAATATCGTTCCTTCATTTATCTATTTGTATAAAAGCCAGGTTGTAGTCATTGTAGGCCAGGTGTGGCACTACCATTACACCATGTTTAAGAAAAAGAAACACCTTGGATTTGTGTAGAGATTCCACTTCATCAAATATAATTTTTTTCAGATTATATAAAACAACAAATACCCCCCTAAAAGCTTGTTATCTATTTGCATTGCTCCAAGCTTGTCCCATGGGAAGCTTCATGTCAAGCAAAATAGGAAATTCTAGATTAACAATGAGATAACAACAGGTTGCACAGCAGTCATAACGAATATATGCTTTAAGAAACAGCATAAATATATGTTGTACAAAACAAACTTCGGGTGCAATCCATCTATAAATTCAAATATGCAATACACATTACCTGGCATCATCATCTTCCCAGAGATATGTATCCTCCTGTTGAACATGCCAGACCAAAAAGAAAATATAAGAATGTCATCAATAAAATTGAAACTCTAGTAAGAAAACACCCCCTAGCTGAGGCAAGCAGGCAGACAGATAAACAGGAAGTTGTTATCTTGCTTATTATCCCACAACTAGGAACACAGAAAGTAATTGCAAGTGCTTTTCTGAAGAGTGAACAGAGAGCCACCACATGAGAGGCCTGAGCTGAACAGCAAAAGAGAGTTGCTCACCCATAATAAGACCTTTATTATTAGCATCCATTATTTTCTGTTTTAACTGGGAGCAAGGGAATGGAAGCATGGCTAAGCCCCCATAGGCCCAAAAACCATAGGGGGCATAGCATATGCCACAATATGTAAGACTCATTTAGAATGGGGCTTATGCCTAACCAATAGAACTGCTAAAAGGTATCCATTTGTCCAAATTTGGATTAAAATCTGCTCTGATTAATGTTATCTGGATTCAATCCATTTATAATTGGATTGAATGTTGATCTAAATCCAATACAATAATATTTAAATGCATATACTTATATCTACATGGGGTTAGTTCCTATAAGTTATAGATATTATTTTATTATGTTTTATTTCATATGAAACTATTTGCATAAGAATATGTTTCTTATGCAAGATATAAAAACTCCTTGTGCAACCAGGATTCTTCACCTGGATTCTCAATTCAACTAGAATTCTTCCAATTTTCATCCCAGTGTCATTCATGAACTAGTATGGGAGTCCTAAGTCCTCTCACCTTGTCTAATGGTATATATCCCTTATTGAACATTCCCCAAAACCTACAATCACCTCCAATCACCCAACATCCAAGCAAAGGTCGACTATGAGCATGAGGAAATTTAATCAATTTGTGGATGCTTTTGAACTTAAGGAGATTCCATTATCACATAGCTGTTTTACTTGGTCTAATCTCCAAGTGAATCTTGTTTGCTCCAAGTTAGATTCTTATTTTCAAATGATTGGGAAGAACATTGGGGGAATCTGACCTCTAGAGCACTTCCAAGAGTAACTTCCGACCAATGGCCTATTGTAATTTGTAAAGAGGAGATGGGAAATGCAAGACCTGCTCCTTTCAGATTTGAAAATATGCGGTTAGGACACCCAGGCTTCCTTCAGAAAGTTAAAGAGTGGTGGGTAGAGAGTAATCCAACAGTGGAATGGAGCGAAATGAGGTTTCACAAGAAGCTCCAGTATTGAAAGATAGAATCAAGGAATGGTCTTAGAGTTTGGGAGATTGGAGGAAAGGAAGCAATCTGTGATTATACAAATTGAACTCCTGGATATCAAAGAAGAGAGGGGATGCCTTTAAGAAGAGGATAAGGAACAAAGATGGAAATTGCGCAAATAGTTAGAAGATTATCTGCTCAAGGAGGAAATAAGTTGGAGGCAAAAATCAAGATGTAAGTGGCTAAAAGAGGGGGATAGAAACACCAAGTTTTTTCATGATATGGAAAATGGAAGAAGGAGAAGGAATTTTATCTCTAGTCTGGAGATTGAAGGGGTAACAGTTTCCAATCAAAGAGAGATAGTTGGAGCTTTTGCGAATCATTTTAGGTCTATATTTAGAAAACCCCTGAACAATAGGGTGTGGCTAGAGGGAATGGAGTGGCCAAATTTGAAGTTAGAAGATAGAAAGTGGCTGGAGAGGAAATTTGACGTGGAAGAGATAAAGGAGGCAGTGTTCTCTATGGATAGATCAAAGGCACCAGGGTCGGATGGTTTCACAATGGCTTTCTATCAAGATTGTTGGGAGGTACTAAAAGAAGATCTAATGAGAGTATTTGATGAATTCCATAATAGAGGAGTGATTAACCCTGGGCTGAATTCCACATTCATTGCCTTGGTACCCAAGAAAAGTGATGCAAACCATCCGAAGGACTACAGACCAATCAGTTTAGTTAATAGCCTTTATAAGATTATCACTAAGGTGTTGTCCATCAGGATTAGGAAAGTGCTCCCAGCAATTATAGCAAATAACCAATGAGCTTTTGTGAAGGGGAGGCAAATAACAGACCAAATACTTATAGCTAATAAGAGTTTGGAAGATTCAAGAGATCCAAGAAAAAAGGGGTGGTCTGCAAATTGGATTTGGAAAAGGCTTATGACTTGGTTGATTGGTCTTTCCTATTGGAGGTAATGATCAATTTTGGGTTTGAAGACAATTGGTGTAAGTGGGTGATGGGTTGCATTAGGACTTGTAACTACTCTATATTGGTGAATGGGGGTGGTGGATTTCTTTCCAACTTTGAGAGGGATTAGACAAGGAGATCCCCTCTCTCCTTTCTTATTTACTTTGGTTGCATAGGTGTTGGGGTGACTAATTTCTAGAGAAGATTCCAAGGAGTTAATAAGGGGGTGGAGAGTTGGAAGGGAGAACATACCACTCACACACTTGCAGTTTGCAGATGACACAACCATGTTTTGTGAAGGAGGGGATCCCAATAGGATCAGGAACTTGAAGCACACTATACAACTCTTTGAACAAATGTCAAACCTTAAAGTGAACATTGAGAAAAGTTGTATAGTAGCAGTTAATTTGGGGGAGGTGGAGATATCTGAGTGTGCGGACATTTTGGAGTGCGTAGTATCTAATTGGCCCTTAAACTACCTTGGTTTGCCATTGGGAGATAACCCTAAGAAAGGAGAGTTTTGGGATCTAGTTGTGGAGAGGTTTAAGAAGAGGCTTGCCACATGGAAGAAAAATTATCTATCTTTGGGAGGTTGAATCACCCTAATTAGGTCTACATTAGCTAACCTTCTGGTTTATTTTTTGTCAATCTTTAAGGTCCCGGGGGAGGAGAAGGACCATAGAGTTAGGAAAAGACCCAATAGTTGTTTGTCTCCTCACTGGTGTGTCCTCTATAAAGCCGATGGTGAGTCTAGATACCACTTACTAATTTCCTGTCAGTTTGCTAAATTCATTTGGGAATGGTTTACTTCTCTGTTCAGGTGCAGGTGGACACCCCCATCAGATGTGCAAAGCTTAGAAGTTTGGAAGAAATAGTGGAGGTTACTCATATTAGGGTGAGTTGCTAAGAAAGCGGAAGAAAATTGCAAAACCAGTTTCAGCTAAGAAGACTTCAAGTTCTTGTTGGACCCCTCCATCGCAGGGTTTTACTAAACCGAACTTCGATGGCAACAGTATGGGCAATCCAGGGCCCTCCGGAATAGGGGGGAGTTATAAGAGATGAAAAAGGGAATCTGCTAGCCATGTATTCTGGTCCAATTGGGGTGGGAGATTCCTTGAGGGCTGAGATACTAGCGGCTCTTGAAGGGGTACAAAGGGCTAAAGACATGAATATCAAGACATTGATCATAGAAGGAGATTCTGAAATTGTGGTGAACTGGCTAAAAGAGGACAACTCTAGGCTTTGGAAGTACAGCAATGCAAAGAGAAGATTTAAGTGGCTGACTAAGGAACTCGAAATTCAATGTACATGGGTAAAGAGAAGGGCAAATTCATTGGAAGATGGTCTAGCTAGGCAAGGGGTGAACAGAAACTCTATGTTTTGGGCTGTGTTGTAATTGCTTTTTAATTTGGGTGTACCTTGGTTGTTTCTGGAGTTAAGATTACCCTTGGTATATCAAATAACTAAAAACAACCTTAAATTTCTAATAATTCTTCATGTCTAAGGACTATAATACTTTTACATCTGAGTGATTCATACATCAGACAGTGATCTCTTCAATGAATCACTGAACTAGATTACATCAGAATTTATCCCTCATACACCTACTGTCCTACATACGGATTACAGATACAGAACCTGACCCAAGTGGTTGAGATGTTACCACCCCTACCAATTGTATGGTAACCATGAATCTACTAGAATATGAGTTGCCTAAACTCACCCTCAACTGACATATTTAAGGACTATAAGGAATAAGATCATTGGTAGTGTTGCATAGACACCACACCTTTGGGGAGGACTTGCAAGACAACATGTGTCTATGAGTCAATTCATGCCCGACTCTCCAAAATATGTGTGGGACTCAGCCATAGTGTGAATCAGGCGGATTTACCGAAATACCCACCATGTCAACTCTCCAAAATTATGAATCCTCACTTTAAGTGCTTCTATGTAACAATGGTCCAACCATTTAAGCTGTCCAATAGGACACTTCAGTATTTATATTATTCTAATTTACACATAACTTATGATCCATTGCTTGTTGGATCTTTTCCAATTAACATCAAACTCAGATTCCCATGTCCAAGTCCATGCAACACTGGTTGTTCAATGCCCCATGATGAGTCCCACTCAACACTTAAATCCTACAATATTAACTGAGGACCTTCCAGTCACACAATAACTATAACTATATAAGAAATGCCCCATAAAGAAAAAAAAAATAGTAGCTTTATTAACTCAAGCATCAATTTATAAAGAACAGGCTTTAAATGAGCACATGGAAATCTCATTTCCAACAAATATGAAGTGAAAACATTGCATTGATACAATTAACAAAGTAAAATTTGTAGAAAACAATAATACAAGATTCTGAAGTATTGCAAACATGTGGAGATAAATTCCAATAATATTTTGTGTTGGCACCCAATGGAAATAGAAACATTTCATGGAAATATTAGAAAGTATTTAGAGATTTTAAACCAGGATATAAATTCAATGGATAAGATTCTATTTGAATTAAAATGTTAATGAATAAAATTTGCTTAAAGGTATATCCAATTTGATTTGATCCTTTTGCAGTCCTACTTACTATTATCTGAAGTACATCCTAGAGACTGACATAACTGCTACTGTTTTGTCTGTATTGTTTCCACCTTGAAGTAAACTTTCTTTCTGTCCTCTCTCTAGGATCTTTCCAATGAGAAGGGGTTTATAATCCTTGTACTTGTATTCACTCTACTCTTTCATTAATGCACTTCTGATCATTGTTATTGACCAATCTGGACAGAGAAATAATAACTACCTGTAGAATTTATTAGGTACTGCCTAACATAGGGTTCTACCAAGTAACCACCTCCTGAGAATAGAGAGAGAGAGAGAGTAAGAAAGGGAGATAGAGTTTGTTTGAATGCTTGTCTCTGTTACTTCTTCCGATTGTATTTATACATGGGGTTGGTACAATCTGTTACAATCTTGGAAGTTAATTCCCACTTCTTGTTGCATTTGGTTATGCCAGCCTGTCATTAGTTGGACCTGAGAGCTGATGTGGCTTCCTTCTTTTGTAGGTCTTGAGCTTGGGCTGGCTATTCCCATACACCGGCCTTGGTTCAGTGTTGCCACTTTTCCCAACAGAATATATAAACAGAACATTTCTTAAAGTTATACATAAGTTTTGTTGAGTTGCATACATGCATCACTAGGACAAACCATTTCTCCTGTATTACAATTTACAAGTTAATTCACACCAACCATGTTAAAACACTGAAAGTGGGAAAAAAACAGAAAATAACTAGCTTACATATGCGGGAGAAAACTACCTGATATGGACTAGATAGGACATTTGGGTTTTGGCAAAACAGTATAAAGGGTTTTATACTGTTCTGGCACTGTTGCTTTTCAGTATGAGAGGAGATTTATAATGCTTGCATTCACAGTTTTGAAAGAGCTTTCTATTATAAAAAGCTCCCATTTTATAATTTATACTAATGCTTAGTTGTCTAGAAGACTCAATGGCCCCTGTGGGGCAGATGGATTATGTGGTGGTTTTTATTCTTTCTTTTGCCCTTCTGCTTTGTATTATCCTTCTTTCTCTTGTTAATAAATTCCCATTACTGACTAGAAAAAAAAAAAAGAAGCTTTCCCCATTCCTTGTAAGTTCAGCTGAATTATGAAAATTCATGCAGAGATATAACATAGCACCTATCTGGCTCTTTCAGATTTCAGGAAACTGAAAACCCAAAGCATCTAGAAAACCATTCAGGTAGTGTGATGGATTATGCACCTGGAAACCACGAGACTTTGCCCCAAGGAATCCAGAACAGCAGGCTGCACCACAGAGGCAGCGAACTTTAGCACCACCATACCATTCAAAGTTATAATCATAAGCTAGCTCTGTTCCAGCAGGAATATCTTGTTTTGCGAATATCCCAACCCTTAGTTCTCCCAAAACCGTCCACTTCCTTGTCTCACAATTGGGTTGGCTGCAAATTTCAAAAAAAAAAAATAGATATCATATAGGAGCTTTTTTGTATTATAATAAAAAACTATTGATGAAAAGAAGATTGCAAGAAAAAGGTGAAGTGGTTTCACAATACCATGAAATAGAATAACAAGGCAAAAACTACAGACTTAATCATCCCCATTAACAATGTTCAATGTAGACCATAAACCAGTACCCAACACTTCCCATTTCACATTGACAAATTCAGGATGCACCAAGACCCATTCCACTAACTTCATACAAATATCAGTCAATTTTTCTGTTAGGACTATTGTTTTAAAAGGCACACCTGTTGTGAGCTTAGGCTCATAGGCAAGGCTCATTTTATGGAGGACATCTAACCTATCTTCTTGCTATTTTTTGATTAATTAATCTTGAAGTTGATATTGAATGTGTTATCTGTAATTCTGTATATTGTAGATGTGATGCTTTTTCTTTTTTTTTTTTTGAAAAGGTGATGAAATTATATTTACATTCATGAAGTACATCGCAACCAACACCATTTACAGAGAACAAGAAATCGGCCATTAACAAAACAGGAGTTGAGATAAAAAAAAAAAAATGCCCCACATCCTTGTAAAGTCCTTGTGAAGCAAAAACCAAGATATAATGTCAACTGAATCATGTTTCCTAGATCTTCCTCTAAGGATTGACTCCTATCTGACTGTATGGCCCATATAATTGCCAAGGACAACACTTCCATATTACCCTACTCTTCTACTTAAACCTTTTAACTCTCCAACAGCTAAAATACTCCATGATGCAGCTTCGGAACCACCAGGAAATACCAAAAGTGTTCAGAAAATTGGACCATATTAGAGTGGCAAAACTGCAATACAAAAACAAGTAATTTTCTGACTACTCTTGGCAAGCACTGCAAATGATGCATGTAAAAGAATCCAACAGCATGTCCCTCCTAGTTAGCAAATCCACATATAATGTGTATTAATCATGTATGATGTATTTTAAAAAAAAAAATGTCCTGAAATATGATATTTTCAAAGATATGGAAAAATATGCAAATAATTCAGATTCTGAAATATACAAGTCCAAAACAATTCAGATATTTATAATTAATAATCCTAAATATTTAAACATCTATTTATATTTAATATATTATACACATTTACAAAGAAAATATGCTGAATTTTTGCATCGAAATTTCTAAACAAAAGTACATTAAACAAAAATATATATTTGACTGATCTGTTACAGTATTATGTTTACTCAATCAAATTTTTACCATAGTTTTTTTCTTAATTTTGAATTATGTTTTTTTTTTGAGAAGGTAAGGTTATTCTTAATTTTGAATTATATACAAATCCCAATATTGTATTTGTGTCATAAACGCTTTACTATGGTCCAGACAAAAAAGGAAATATTGGAGAGGGCCCCATATTTCCAAATGGCTTTGTGGTTAAGTCATCAATCTTAAATCATATTAAGGAAAGATTGGTAGAAAGAATTCCAATTTCCAACTCCTAGTCGTTCAAATTTCTTTGAAACCTTGGCTGCCAAATTACCCCCTGCTCACTTCTCTCATAACTGTGTCTGATCAAAATATTCCTATTTTCAGCAATAAGAAAAAGAGCTCATGAGTGCAATAAGTGGTCGGAAATCACATCAAGAATTTCTCCAAAAACTGGTTGTGGAACCATCACTCATTTTGGTTCTAATACCACAAAAAAGGAAAAACTCCAGCAACTCATGTCTCATCTGGTTCGAGAGCAGGAAGGCAGGTACTAACATCCTTCCAGTGTTCAAGACCAAGAATGCCAGCACACACTGCACAGAAGACCATGTCCCAATCAATTAAGGGAGTGTTCAGTCTGTGGTTATGATCGTGTTTCATCTGGTTCACGAACACTACCTATGCTACTTGTATACCCATGGTTCCAGAACCAGAAAAATGGCCTTTTTTTGAACAAAACTTTTTATAGCTTTCTCAACCAGGAAGCATGGTTCACTGATGTAAATACACATGAAATGACAGTTAGATGTGTCTCGCAAACAAACATAGCTCCAGTTATAATGTCTCTATTTGATGATGATTGATGACTGTATAATTAAAAGTAAGTAGTAAAGTACATGTATAAATGAATCATACAATCAATGCTCACATATCATGGTTCAAAAAATGAACCATGAACAGAAAAGCCTCTTTTGCATTGTGTGGTTCAAAAAAAAATGTCATTTTCAATAAGAGATTGGTATGGTTCTGAAACCATTTTCAGAACCAAATTGGAATTCATCATTCCAACCATGCCACAAAAAGTAACACTGAATTTCCTCCAGCCAATTAGCCATAGCCAAATGCATGAGGAAAGAGAGATATATATAAAATAAATCGGGAGCTAGGCCAATGAATTCCAAAAGAGAACGTCCTTCCTCTCTTTAGAGATGTACCTAGACTTCCATGAGGCCAGCTTTTTATGAACTCTTTCAACAATGGGTTCCAAAATCGAGTTGGAAAGATGACAACACTGAAGCACAAACAGAGATAGATGGGAAATTAGCAACTTTGTATGTTGTATCCAAGGCAATATAGCTAGATAGTCCAAATTGACATTTCCAACATCTATACCTAGCTTCTATGGAGGTTTATTCTAAGTCCCAAAATAGATTAAACGAGCAGATAAGCATCTAAGGTATAGGAGCTATTCCTCAACAGCATTACAGAAAAGTAAAGTATTATTAGTTAATTGTAAAAGGTAGATGGTGGGAGAGCCATCAAAAACCTGAAAACTTCAAATGATGCCATACTTGAAACCTTTGCTGTGAGCCACAGAGCCAGTTCAGAGTCTCCATGACAGTTTAGCCTATGTATGGCATTAGGTACAAAACTACAACCTTTCTATTAATAACATAATACTCTAACCAACTGAGCAAATAGATATTTTCGAACATTTTATTTCTGAGTTCAACAATGGTACATTCACTAATATTGGCTGCACGTTAAATCCAGATCTCAACCAATCACATTAAAGTCAGCTTACTTTTCATTGGTTCAAGTTTCATAAAGTCTACTTTCACGTTTAATAAGGATTTTATACATACCTGAAATTAGATTGATAGGATGAAATCATTTATTTCCAGGACTCTATCCTTATTAGGAAATGATAAAAGCTGCATTAGATACCATTTCTGAAAAAACAGACTACAAACATGCATTGAAGAATGCCATGCTAAAACCAACATATCCCAGAGTCATATCACCACTCATTGATCATAAAGCTGTTTCAATTTCTTCTTCCTCTAATCTTCTCTCTGACAGTCATTTTACCCTCTTCAAAGAAACCAGAAGATATATATATATATATATTGTAGAATTCCTCCACGGGAAAACATAAACTGTATATAAATCTGCATAAACATTCTTGATTGTTATAGATATTTCTTCATGTGTATCAAGGACAACTTTTTTTATTGGCAACAGTTAACTTTATTGAATTGTGAAAGAAAGGATCAAAGAATATATGTGCTATGATAGCACAATGCTATGCAATTGGAAACAGCCTCTATGTATGTGAAGGGGTAAGGCTGCACACATCTGTCCCTCTCCAGACCCTGCATTGTTGGGAGCCTCATGCACTGGGCTGCCCTTAATATATGTGCCATGCAAATAATGTGCCAAGCACCGCTCATAAACTGGCAGCCCCTACACTATCCTGGATATACCTTCTTGAACTCTGGAAACAAAGTTTTTCCTTTGTTTAAATGTAGCAAAAGCATGAAAAATATGTTATTTTACAATCCTCTGCCTTCAGCGATAAATCTCTTCACAACCAAGTAACAGTGTCACCATATTACACCTTTATGAACAACATCAGAAAGCTTTCTCTTTAGTACATCTTCTTCTAAGCATTCCCCAAGCATGGTGGTCAGCCTTGTCCAGTTCATCTAATGAACCAAGTTTCTCCAACACTTCTTCCTTCCTTCCCTGAACATTTCCAAATACCTGCTTAGTCCAACCTTTTAGCAACGCTTTAAAGCCTGTAATTCCTCATCAAAGGGACTTCACCCCTAACTATCAATCATATTGGCAAATTCTAGATGTTCCAACCACATATTTTGAAAATTTGAAGGTCTTGACAACAATGAATTCTCTAAGAATAGTTAGTTTATGATCAATAGAGGATTCAAAACTGGTTCTAAAGCCAAATCCATTGATTCCCACAAACCTAAAAACAAAAATCTATCCAACCACCTTAAAGTTGGTGGTGAATAGGACTATACATTCATAAGGTATCAAATCCCTTCCCCCTTCACCTCTAAAACCAACTGAATGAGAAGAATCTTCCCTTCAGTTCCACAAAATTCACTATCACCATTGAATCCCAAGTTATCAGCAACCCAAACAACAAACCAACATGTTGAATATTCACTATCACCATTGAATCCCAATATTCTCTCACCGTGATGGTTTGGGGCTTGGGAACATTAGAAAAAGGAATTTGGCCCTTCTGGGGAAGTGGTTGTGGAGGTTCCCACTAGAAAAGGAGAAATTAAGGGCTAAAGTAGTGATCAGCATACATGGGCTGGAGCAAAATGGATGGGATCATGATTTGTTACCAGTCTTTTCCCCTCTTATGAGGTATGACTTGAATTCAGGTAACTCCATAAAATTCTAGGAACAAACTTGGGTGGGGAATGCCCCTCTAAAAGACCAGTTTCCTTCTTTGCATGCCCTATCTTATTTGAAAAATGAGCCAGTTTCTTCTTTCATTACCCCTTCCTCTTCCATTTCTGGGTTTGGGTGGAATTTGGGTTTGAGGAGGGTTGTGAGAGACTCAGACCTTGATAGTATTCCGAGTCTCCTTGGACTTCTTGATAATGTTTTCTTTGACCCTGCTAAGGTGGACTCTAGAATCTGGACCCCCACCCCCACTGGATCATACTCCTACGCCTCTTTCTTCAAAGTGTTAAGCCAGTCCACCAGTCCTGTAGCCATCCCTTTCCCTGTTAATGAGGTTTGGTGCA